AGCCTGCACGGGGGTGTGGGGTCCCCCCTCTCCAGCCACTGTGGATCACATCAAGGAGAAGTGCTGCGTGGTCTGGAAAGCAGAGTTTTCTACTCGCCCTTCACATATACACATGAGCAATAACAGTGCCTGATGGTGCCACGAACTTTCGGAACCCCAGCAGCTCTTCCTGGACTCTACATCCCACAGGCTGGGGCCAACTCCCCGCACCAGACACAGCCCGGCACTTGCTTGTGGCTTTTTTATTCTTTAAGCAGCCCAAAAAACAGAGTCAGGGAGGGGAGAAAGCAGCTTTCCTTCTCATTGTGTCTCTCTTTGGCAGTGCTCCTGAGGGTGATGGAGAAGGTCTCATTTTCCTGCTCTAGGAGGAACCTGGTCTGACTGCACTCAGGAGGAGTAACAAGTCAGCCACTGTCTCCCTCCTCCCTTCTTTCTTGAATTGGTGGAAACTCCAGCCTGAAAGATGATTTTTTGCACTGTAAACACGACCACATAAACCTGACCCTGCTGATATTGCTTATCCATGTAAATTAAGTTCTTTTTCCTAATTCTCTCTGTATTTTGTACATTTGTAGCAAAGTATTTATGATCTTTATCGTTTAAAAATATGAAATTTTGGAAAATGCAACAGTAAAAACTGGCACTTCTCCATTTCTCCTCTCTTTTCCAACTCACTCCACTGCCAGTTCAAACTTCTGCTATTCCTCATTTCTAACATTTCCATGTAGATTTCCATGCTAGGGAGCAGAAAGCCCAACCAGAGCTGAGCAGAACAGGGTGAATTAATTTCATTTCACTGGGCACCAAAAGTGTCTTCCAGATAACTGTCCACAAACATGTAGAAAACAACCTTCATATTTTGCAAATCTACATGTCTTCCAGTAGGTGCATATTCACCCACATTCGGTGGGCTTATACGCACCCATATGGCATAGATTTGTAGCTGCATACCTTGAAAAAGAGTTTTTCCATCTTAATCTTTCAAGTTTAATTGAGAATGATACCTGGTTTGTCTTATTAATTGCTTACAGTGCTGCTGCCGCGTATGTTACTTCATGTTTAGTTTAACAGCTCTTGTTCTTTTTGGTGAGTGCGATCGTAGCGAACACTGCTTTTAATAAATTAAAGAGGGATGTTTTCATCCCCTTTAGGGTACTGGTAACTGGGAAAAAGAAATTATCTTTTTGCCTGTTAAAAATTGCAGGTAGCAGTGAGCATTTGCTCCTGTGAGAGGGGTGATGATAGGAAACCCGTCCCGGCTCACACACCTCTGCCTTCCCTGCCTGCCATAGAGCAGCCCTGGGCTGGGCTCTGGTGCTGGCACTGTCCAAAGCCGATGGGGAAACCGATTTCTGCCCAGAAGAGTAAACAGGTAGGAAAAGGGCAGAAAGCAGAAGCTGTTTCACCTTGACTACGTGGCAAGCTTGGTGCCAAGGCAGGCGCCCTGCCCAGCGCTACAATCCAAGTCACGCTCATCCCGCCGGCTGCTGACCAAATCTGGCCAGCCCTAGGTCTGGTTGCTTTCGCTGCTCCTGCACAAGTTCATCTGCCACCAAGTGCAAGAATCACTCTTCTATTAATTTTAACCAGCAGTTTTCATGCCTGAGGTGCTTTCGAGCCATTGCAGTGAGCTTCATGCACTCAACACTGAGTCCTGATGGTGCTAGAAAGGTAGGGGAAAAATTTCCCTCCAAGTCTGGGAAACTCCAAAAATACCTGGCAGCCGTGTGCTACGAGAAAGGTGACAGTCATACTCGAATGAATAGAGACGCAGACAAAGCGTTTTTATTTCAAACAGGACATTTTGAGCCAACAAGGTCCATGGGAAGTTGTTCTCTGCGTGCTGCAAGCTGAGGGTGTGTGGTGGGCATAGAAGAGCTGTGAAGATTCACCTTGGGTTATCCCAGGTCATGGGTTCTGTTGGGAAGGGAAGGGACTCCAATGATATCGTCTCCATCAGTGTGTCTTGTGCAGAAAAGGCTTACTCATTTTTTTTTTCCTGTTGTTTTATGGACTCCACATAAAGCAACTGCTTTTCTTCCCTTTTTTAGAGTACTGTCCTTTTCTTGCTGACACCAAATCGGGCCACATAGCCAGGTACCTGGCACAAGTCCTGTGCTCAGTGGCACTGCCACGTGCTCGTGCTCTGCTGCAGGATGCCAAACCAGCGTAGAGCAGCAGAGTTGGTCCCTGAGCAGGTGGATTACTACCAGGAGAACGCAAAACAAAGCAAAGCAAAACAAAGCCAGCAGAAAGCCCATAGTGGAAAAGAAAGTCAGAAGTGCAAGCAGGGACTCCTGCTCGCAGCTGAGGTTAAATAGGCAGACAGGTGTCCTGATATTTCCTTCGCACAAAGATTTCTTTGTGACTGCATTAAGGAAACAAATTCGGCTTTTTCCACAGGGGAAAAACAAAGGAACAAGAGCAGACTCCAAAATTCATTTATTTCCCTCGCCCTGTAAAGATGCAATGCTGCAACGCCACTAGACAAGGCGACTTCGTTATCAGTGAAAGAAAGTGGGGGCTGCCGCAGGCAGAGATGGCCCATGCAAACCACAGGCATCCTACCTTCACACTGCCAGCACCTCTCATGGCCTGAGAGCATGTCACCTCCCTCCCAAACCTTCACACCCGCTCTTCGGGTGGAATCCTGCCCCCCTGCATGCCGTGGCTGTGCACCACCAGCCTGCTGCTTGCTAGCGGGTGATGGAGAGGGTGCTGCAGCAGGCTCCGTCCATGGGCTGGAGCAAGCGTGCTTGTCCATGCTACTTAACACCCAGAGGCTTTTCCTGAAAAGCTAAAAAACCCAGCAGCTTCGTTAAACGACGGAAGATGCAACCCTAGCATCACAGCATGATTTGGAGGAGCGGGTTCTGTCCAGTACCCATGCTTCTTGATACGGTTTTACCTCTCCTCCAGTGCAAGCAGCCCGATCATCAGTCATGTGCCTTGACCTAAGGCCTCCACCTGGACATGTAACCCCACCCCTCCCATACCCAAACTCCTCCCCTTAAATTCCCGCAGGTTTTTATTTTCGTCCCTCTAATTTTTCAACCTTGCCTTCAGTTTGGCACAGCATGGAGGGTTTTCCATGATCTTCACCAACTGCTGAAACCTTGTTTCTCCTACCAGAAGTGTGTCTACTTTGTCCTCGCTGGAGTCTCTCAGAATGGTAAAACATGTTCAGAGCCAGAAACAAACATGTTCAGAGCCAGAAACACAAAGAACTAGCTGGTTTAAAGGAGAAACCATGAGAATCAGGGTTTCCCTCTGAAAAAAGGGACTTTGCAGCACCATGGCAAATTGAAGGGTCGAAGAGAAGCCTGAGGTTGGTTTGAGAAATGCTGTCCCAGCTGATGCCTACACAAGCAGCTTCAAGATTGCAGGTACTGTAAGAGGGCCATACCAGGTAGGACATCCATGGGGCATAGACATGACCCTGTGGGGGCAAAGCAGCACAGCTACACTGGAATTGTTGTTCAGGCCCTTTGCCAGGAGTTCAATGCTGTTGGAGCCTCATGCTCTTCAAAATACTATATTTGGTATTTTGTTTTTCTCAATGAATGACATTTGTCTTCGTGAGACTCCATTTGTTGGTAATACTTTTATAAAGCATGACTATGTGTGGGACAATTAGTAGATAATCAAACCACAGCACTAACAATCTCAGAATGCAACACAACTCTCCCAAATAATACCAAGATGCAACACAACTCTCCCAAATAATTCCAAACTGAAAATAGTAAAGGAAAAGAAAAATACTGTCAAATTTATTCAGCTGGAATATCTCATCCTGAGAGCTATTCTCCCATAATATTTGGGGCAAGCACAGTGTCATAAATCTTAATGCTATTAATCCGTAGACTCATTCATCTCTGTTCAGCTATATAAAAGCAATAACCTTGTCACTATAGGAAGGAAGATTGGGCTTTTAATTGCATATAGATTTCAGGAGAGTTCTTATCTCATAGTCCAATTTGTAGCTTCAGATATGGGTCTTTGCGTCCCTTGGTCAAAGTCCATGTAAATCTGCCGTGCTCTCATATACTTAGTAATGTTGCAGAAGCTCAGAAAGAACCTATATCAAGCTCTGCTGGTAGATAATACACAGTCTTTTCAGCCTTTGCTTTATTAGACAAGCCTATATTTAATTAGCTCTTCTGAAATGGGATATGCATTTTTCAGAGGACGATCAAATTTATGGAAACGAAAACCTTTCCTGAGTGCACGCATACAGGCATACACACATTGCCGGTCACAATTTCCCTGACTCATCTCCCTTGGCTCTGCAAGTGTTACCAAATGCATCCTTTGCTGTGCAATTTATTGTCAATAAAGACAAAATAATTGGCAAGGGGTCTTCCAGCCCTCACTGGTGTCAACTGCAGGAGGAAAAGCTGGATCTACTCATGGGGCCGGGAGATCTGCAGTATCTGGGCTCCAATTATTTCCAGGCTTTACTCAGCCGAAGAATTCTAGAGGCACAAAACTCCTTGTTGCTGCGCAGTTGTTCAGACCAGCAAGCCCAGTTCAGCCCAGCACATATTTAACTGCTCCTCCCAAACTGCAGCCAGGCAGGATGGTGAGGGCTTTGCTCTGCGTGCCTTGGTACGGCACTGTACCCTCCAGAAGTTTCTACGTGCTGGAGGACTGCCTGAGAGCAGCGTCTTGCTCCTTTGAGCAGCTCGGTTTTGCACATAGTGCTGGGTTCAGAGCCTAAATTCACACTCTTTAGGGAAAAGTGCGTCCCTGCAGTGCTGGGGACCCAGGCACAGCTCGGGGTGCAGAGGCTGTGTTTTGAGTGGATGGCCCCAGGGTGCTCCCCAGGTGGCATAAGGACCCGATGTCCCACCTCCCCGTGCAGCTGGCACGTA